GGGGGGGGGCAGGGATGCCATCATATCTAAAAGAAGAGTATGAGGGGACTGCCGGTCCATCTTCTGGGCACACGAGAAAGCTGGGCCTGCAGCTGGCCCTCATGGAAATGATATCCTGCCTGTGCCCTCCTCACCAACCCCAACCCCCCCCACCTTGCCTGCCAGGAGGATCCTCCTCCTCCCCTTTCTCCTATTAAAAATCTACCTGTCCTTCAAGGCCAAGGTCAAACCACCCCTCAGGAGACAAGAGGAGCTGCCAAACATTTGTATCTCACAGTTGTGTGTCCAAATCACTGTGGCTTTGATTGGATGTGTTGAGATAAATCCCTGTGCAGACAGTCCCTAGCCTCGGGCGGGGCCACCTGGTACTGTGGAACCTACTTCCCCACAGGCAGTCCTGTTCGCCTGCCCAGGGCCGCACCTGGGACATGGAGCTGCTGTGGCCGTAGTGGGACCCCAGCCCGGGCTCTGTCTTGATGGGGCGCATCTCTTCACTGCTGCTGGTGGTTGCGGTGCTGGAGTTGCTGGAAACGCTGCTAGTGGGAGGAAGGCTCTCACTACCCGAAGGACCTGGAATAAGGCAGAGTCAGGACCCTCAGACCAGGGGCAGGGACAACTGGGATGGCAGTCCTTTGAGACAGCCGGGGTAGGGCCATGGTAATGGCTTATTTCCATTTGCTGGGGAGAGAAGCGGGGATCCTTCATCGGTGGAGGGCAACAGTTCCCAAAATGAGATTTTCAAGGGAACTTTTTTGAAATGACAGGCTCATCACCCCTTATCCCGAACCCCTTGAGGCCACAGTTGTTTCAGGATTCAGAACTTTTTTGATTTAGAAAAGGCATAGCCTGGCCAGCATGGCTTAGTGGTTGAGCATTGACCTATGGTCCAAGAGATCGCAGTTTGATTCCTGATCAGGACACATGCCTGGGTTGTGGACTCGATCCCCAATAAGGGGCATGCAGGAGGCAGTCGATCAATGACTCTCTCATCATTGATGTTTCTATCTCTCTCTCCCTCTCCCTCTCCCTTCCTCTCTCTGAAATCAATAAAGACTTTTTTTTTTTTTTTAAGGGGTATATATTATACATTGTAGAACATCTCCAGGGAGGTCTAGGACAACACCCATATAGAAATACATTAATAGTTCTATAGCAAAACATGAATATTCACAAGTGGGGCAAATAAAAGACTATAAATAGCCTGTGTCTGTTCAGATTAGGTTTTGCTGCCAAATCTAGCTCCCCAGAATTTGAATTTCCAATAGGGAATTGTACACCTGAAGCAAATGCCTGCTCAACCTGTTACAGAGACATGTAAGGAAATGGAGTTACCAGGGTGGGGTGGGGGTTATTTTTAAACAGTGGGGAAACAGGAGGAAGGAAGGGGGCCACTAGGGTAAGACACTGAAAGGTCTAAGAAGACAGGACTGCCAGAGGGTAAGCCACTGCTGAATCTGGAAAAGGACAGCTGTGGTCGTGTTCTTGGTAGTGGAAAGGGGAGATTATCTGGCTCTGCAAGATGAACTTTCCATCAGGTCAGCTGAGCAGTGAACTCTTTCATTTGGTAGCTGTACTGAGGAGATAACGCTTGTGGATGGAACGTCAGTAGTCCTCCGTCCTAATCTATAAATTGATACAGCAGGGTGGTATAATTTCTTTTTTAATCCTCACCCAAGGACATGCCTTTTTATTAATTTTAGAGAGAGAGGGAGAGAAATATCGATGTAAGAGAGAAACATCCATCAGTTGCCTCCTACATGCACCCCAACTGAGAACCCATAATCTAGGTCTATGCCCTGACTAGAATTGAACCACAACTCCAACCGAGTCACCCAGCCAGGGCAGGGCTGGTATCTCAAACAGCATTTGGACCCTGAAGTGTAAAAGCTTGGGCTTTCATTCTGGATCTACCTACCCACCCACAGCTGTATGGTTCTGGTTAAGTCCCTGCCCTCTCTGAGCCTCAGCTTGCTTGCTTGTAAAATGTGGATAATAAGTGAGGTCTCATGGGGGGTCAGTGAGAGACCATTTGTGAAGAAACTTTCTAAAGTACAAAGTACTACATGATGTTAATTATACACTAGCTTATAGATCAGTCTGTTGTGAACATGACTAATGGGGCCCTGTCCTAGATCCCGAAGATGGAGGGACTGCGTAGTGTTCCTTTCTCTTTCAGGCCCTCGACCAGTCCAGCTGGCCCACTCTAGCCCTTGTGACTGGCAATGATCAGGCCACAGCTTGACTACAGCCTGCTTCAAAAACTCCAAATATGTCCCATGGTCATGCTACTTTTATACTGGGTTACTCATTTTGTCCTGAAAAGCTGGGGACGAACAAGGCTAACTTTACACCTTGACTACTTGGGTTGGCTCTCCTAACTAAGAACACATTCTCACACATTCCAAGGGCTACAGACTTACTTATATAGTTACACACAGCTCTTTTCCTCACCTGCTGGCGTCTTAGATTTGTTAAGGTTCTTGGGCTTCCGTTTTCTGGTTTGAATCCCCTCTTTCCTCATCGCAAGAGGCCTGGGAACCTAGGGGATTACAAGTCAATAGATATGGTTTTCCATTTGTACATGATCAGCTACAGCATTTCAACACACACATACACACACAATGGGAAGACAACCTCTGTGCAATTCCTCTATAAACCTTGGAGCTGAGACTAAATTCCTGCCAAGAAAGAAATCAGTTCTATTTTTTTAAAACATATTGAGCACCTTTATTACATACTGGGTATTATACTAGACCCTGAAGAAACAGAGACTGGAGGACACAGATCCTTCCCTCCAGAGGTTCATGTTTAGTGGGAATGACAGAAAACTAGAAAATAACCAGACTCATAGGTGACGGAGGAGAACTCCGTTCTGGGTTGGGGAGGAGGGGAAGTGGCACGTGAGCCTATCAAGGGAGGCTTCGCTGAGGAGGTGACATCTGAGTTGAAAGAGGTTGTAGAGTAGACAGGCAGGTGTTTCAGGCAGCAGGCACAGTGTGTGCCACACCTTTCACTCATCAGCCACATCAGAACACTGTGAGAGTGAAGAGGCGGTGTTCTTCTTAATAATCATGCCAAGAAGACAGGCACAAGGCGGGACAGTCCCAGTGAGTGAAGATGTAGATGCTGTACTTAGAGCAGCTCTTCACTGCATTGAATCTGACTGGATGGAGCCAATGGTGGTGTTTCCATGGGAGCAACAAAAGATTATGCTGGAGAGACTGACCTGCGGCCAGATGCTCAGATAAACTGTCCAAGGACAATACTTTTATCCCATCTGACTTCTCATAAACAAGCAGTGACCGTCAGGTGTCACTCACAGAGGCCTATAAACAAGCGTCTGGGGAGCAAGCCTGCATCCTTGTAGTCTTTTAAAACAGTGCGCCTTCCCCACATCTGGTTTCTTTTAGGCCTGGTCAATGACAGCTTTTAGCCCCTGGTCTATGCTTGTCTCCCATATGGGACTAATGAAGACCACACCTGCAAATACTGAAAGAAAAGCAATCACCACTTCAGAGACGTGAACACGGAACAGTTAAGAGATGTGCACCGGCGTCCATGAACTTGAACTTGCCTGCCAGTCACTGGGAGTCACAGCATTCCCACTTTGGGGGAACCTGTACTCAGGCCCTCGTACAGCCTGTCCTGACTTCAGAAGAATCTTGCCCTCTTCTTTACCCCCACCCACCTCAGTACTTGTTTTTAAATTGTGGTAAATACACATAACATAAAATTTACCCTCTTAACCATTTTTAAGTGCACAGTTCAGTAGTGTTAAGTACAGTCACAATGCTGTGTCGCCATCACCACCATCCATCTCCAGAACACTTCTCATTTGCAAAACTGAAACTCTGTACTCATTAAATAACTCCCTATTTCCCCTTCCCCCTGCCCCAGCAGCCACCATTCTACTTTCTGTCTCAGAATTTGACCACCCTCAGTACCCTGTGTAAGTGGAATCATACAGTTTGTCCTTTTGTGCCTACCTTGTTTCACTCAGCACAATGACTTCAAGGTTGCCCCATGTTGTAGCGTGTGTCAGAATTTCCTTCCTTTTAAAAGCTGAGCAATATTCGATTGATTCTACACACCACATTTTGCTTACCCACCCCTCATCAATGGACATACGGAGTGCTTCCCCCTTTGGGCTGTTGTGAATGATGCGGCTATGAATTTGAGTGTATAGATATCTGTTCAAGACCCTGCTTTCAATTCTTTTTGAATATATACTCAGAAGTGGGACTGCTGGGCCATATGGTAAGTCTACTTTTAAGTTTTTCAGGACACAATCTTTTTAATACCCTCATAATATTTCTCTATGTCTTTTGTTGTTGTTGTTGTTTACCACTCCCCTATTGAAGAACAATAGTTTCTTTAACCATTTTCCTCCTGGACGCTTTTTCTCCATTTTTACTATTACAGTGACTCAACAAACATCCTTGTATACACTTCTTGAAGAAACAAGTGTATTTTCTTATAAATGTTCTACACTATATTTAACCATTTTTTTGCTCATAACATGAAAACATGCATGAGATTAAGTTAATAACATCCACTCCCAGCCCACTACCATCAGTCCTGTCCCCATGAGGCAACTGGAGTAATAGCCTGTGTTCCTCACATTTTTAAAAATTCTCAAACATGTGCACATGTACATATCTATACATATATGTACCTGTGTACTCATCCATCCTTCCATCTGTGTGTTTCTAATGTACCCTCACCTCCACAGTACAGGGTCATACTATGTATATATTACTCCGCAATGTGTTTTCCCATTACTCCAAGTAAAGATACATTCTTTTTTAATTTCTGTGCAACTGTCTACATTATAGGATGCGACATAATTTATTCAACCATTCCTTGATGAGGCTTGAAGATTGTTTCTAGTTTCTGCCAGTACAAACACTGCAGCAATAAATAGTTCAAACATCATTATGTACTGATTCTTTTATTGTTTTATAAGCTAGTTTCTCAAAAGTAGAGCTGCTACATCAAAAGGTATGTGTTTTTACACTTAGGAAATACTGCTAGTTTAATTTCCTGGAAGAATATCTGTAATAATTCACATACAAATCAACAATATACAGTATGCAAGTATCTGTTTCCCCAAATCCATACCACAGCTACATGTTATCACGCATTTTAATTTTTGCCAAACACATAGGCAAGACTGGGAACCTCAAGGTTGTCTTATTTTACATTTCCCTGATTTTTAGTGAGGTCCAGCCCCTCTGCACATGTTCAGTGGCTATCTGAGCTTCTGTGAGTTGTTTATTTCTTTTAGGAAATGAGGGAAGATTGATTGTCATTTTCTTATTATTCTATGGGATCTCTTTTTTGTTTGTTTTGCTTGTGTTGTCTTAGTTTATCCTATATTTGAACAAGTAAGACATGCACCATCTAAAAGGCACAAAGGGGGCACACAGTGAAAAAAGTGTCCCTCCAACTCTCCTGTTGCTTTTCCTACGGGCAACCCACCTACATGCTACCAGTTTCTTATGTATACTTCCAGGTGTTCTATGTGTATATAAGCAACTACATATAAATTACACTCTTCCTCTTTTTTCATAAAAACGGTGCCATACTGTGCACAATATTCTACACTGACTTTTTACAGCACTGTATAATGGAGATTGTTGCAAATCAGAACATAAAGAACTTTACAATCAAATATACCTGACTTTTATCTTATGGCTTAAGAGTTGAAAATTTGCCTAAGAAGTTCTCCTCTCACCAACAAGGTTATATAAATACTATCCCCAACATTTTCTTCTAGTATTTTTATTGTCTCTATTTAAAGATGTTCTACATTTCATATCCTTAATTCTCCCAAGTTTATTTTTGGTTTTGGTAGAAGGTGGAGGTCAAGCTTTGCTTTTGTTTTCCAGATTTTATCAATACAATTATTCTTAAGCTATCTTTTATCCGTTTAATACTTCTGAGTCTCCTCATCTATAAAATAGGAATTAGACTTATATAATGTTAAAGATGAAGTCACCAGCAATGTTTCTGCTACAGTATGAAAGTCTGTGTCACCCCAAAATTCATGTTAGAAACCCCAAGGTGATGGTATTAGGAGGTGAGGCATTTGGGAGGTGATTAGGTCGTGAGGGTGGAGCCCTCATGAATAGGATTAGCGCCCCAAAAACAGACTCCAGAGAGCTCCTTCATGCCCTGTGCCATGTGAACATACAAGGAAAAGTCTGTAACCTGGAAGAGGGCTCTCACTCGCTATGCTGGTGGCCCTGATCTCCAACTTCCAGCCTCCAGACTGTGAGCAATAAATTTCTATTTAGAAGTCACCTGGTCTGTGGTATTGTTGGAGCAGCCTGAATGGACTAATACAGTCTGTACGTCCCTTCCATATCTAAGTATCTTTGCTAAGAAGGAAAAAATAAATTATAGTCAAAGGGAGAAAGACAAGTGAGAACTGAGTGATGGGCATGAAAGATCATGGGTGCTGGTCAAGGTGGTCGTCCTGCATGGTGGGTGGGACTACTTACGCCATGGAGCTTCATGTACAGGCCGCAGGCGTTGCACACGGGCTCGCCCTCTGCGTTGCGGCGCCACAGCGTGGTGGTGGTGGTCTGGCAGTTGGCGCAGGAGAGGCCCACTCGGCGGGACGCAGACTGCAACACAGGAGACAAACCCTTCAAGTCCAAGTAAAAGGCAGGCGCTGCTGCTTCTCCCTCACGGGGAGTGCTGCAGGGCTGGGAGGGCGCACAGGCCATAACAATCCTGGTTAGTGAGCAGCTCAGACCAGCCGTAGCGCCAGGGTCTCCCTTGCCCTGAGCCACTCCTGGGGCGGGGGAAATGTCTGATGTGGGGAAAGAGTGAATCCTAGTCCTAACTGTGGCTTTAGCAGGGTAATGAGCCATTCCACATCAGGTGGAAATCCCAGTGGGTACTGGGCACTGGAAGCAGAACAGCTTCTCCCAAACTTAGAATTAATGTGGTTTTCAGGTGCCAGGCACAGTGGCGGGTGAGGATCTATTGTATCCAAGCATCATCAGAGACTGGATGGGTTGTGGGACCTCAAGAAAGGGAAACCTCAAGGTTTATCGCCTCTCTTCTTCCCTCCCTAATGTACATGAGAGCCAGTATCTATTGGTCAAAATCAAACTGTCGTAAGAAAAGACCACAGAACCAAGAACCAAAAAAGCTCAGTTCCCAACTCTTCCTCAGCCACAGGGCCCAGTACACACTGTTTAACCTCCCTGGGCTTTGGGTTGATCAACTGGAAATAGGGTACGTAGCAATGTATAAAGCAGAGTCGACCTTCCTCATGGAGCTGACGGGAGCACAGGGGACATACAGGGCTTCCTGGACTGGGGGCCCGGAAGTCTGGACTCACTCACAGGTGGCTGCAGGCAAGCCATGAGCTTTTCTGAGCCTCCCTTTTCACTGCTGCATAATTAAAGGCGTGAATTAGATGTTCCCGTGAAGATCAATAAACAGAAACCTCGTTTAAATTGAAGTTGAGAGGGCCTGTAAGGGGAGCTCTCCTGGGGTACCACTCATCATCAGTTTACCCCAAACAGGAAGAGACATATTTTCCATCTCCAACAGGAAGATGTTTTTCTACGCTGCTGCAGCAGGTAGAAAGAGGGTCTTCTCCTCCCCCCACAAAACTGTTACAACTCAGCCAATGAAAAGCCACTACACTTCCAGCTCCCAATTTCCTCCAATGGACTCTGAGTTTACAACAGCCCCTCTGAACGCCCCCTTTCCTCTCTAAAAGAATGTTCTTCTCCTTTGTCATCTGGACTTTACATGGTTCGCCATTGGACCACATGTTCTGAATTATGTATCTTTGTTGTTCCAGAAAAAACTCATTATGCTGGAGAAATATCTGGCTATTTGTTCAAGGTCCACAGTCTGGAACAACCTGGTAGCTCAAGCTAGTTAGAAAGGTGTGAGAAATTACTATGTAGCCACCACCCATCCAAACCCTCAAACCATATCTTCAAAAAGATGACTTAAAATTCAAAATTCAAAAAACCAGGAAATTTCCCACCAAGGTAGGAGCCTTGAAGCCAGGTGCTGAGAGGAGAGAAACGTGTCCCCCACTCTAAGGCTGTTGGACTTTTGTGGTCTGGGCACTTGCTTACCAGCCGGCGCTGGGGCTTGATGAGGGGCCGGTTGATCCCGTTCATCTTGTGGTAAAGGCCACAGGCGTTGCATAGATAGTGCCCTGTCCCATCCCGCCTCCAGAGTGGAGTGGACATGGCCCCACAGTTGACACATTCTCTGCCTTCCGAGAAGTCATCAAACATATCTACTGGGTGGGAAATAACACAGAGGATTAATTCTTTCTTTATTCCCATTAACCTCATGACAGAAAATCGAGAGAACAAAGAAATAATGCCCTTTCCTTGCAAGGAGTGAAGGATGTATCCTTGGGGCCTCACTCTGACCTCAACCCCTGGGGGATCTATCTGCTCAGAGGACTGTCATAGGAAGTGGGCATTTTTACTCTCAGACATCCCAGACAGCAGAGCTCTCCTTAGTCAGGAGAAAGGAAGAGAGTCTGGCAGCAACCACCAGCAGCCTGATTTTAGTTCCTCATCTCTCCTTCAGAGCTTGTAACCCTGACAGTCTCACCTAACACTCAGTTCCACTCTGACCTTCTGTCTCTTTTTTTTCCCTTTCAAAATTGAGACTCCTTTTCCCTCTGAATAAAAATAATAAATATTTACTTCAGGAAAATTAGAAAACACTAAAATGTGTAAAAAAAACATAAATCATTTGTAATCCTGTAACTTGAAGATCAACGATGTTATTAGCATTTTGTTCTATTATATCCTTTGAAATACTGTATTTATATTGACCTGTATTTTTGCCTGGTTGAGGTCGAGCTGTATAATTTTGAGCCTGCTTTTGCACTTAATATCAAAGCCTTTTCCCACATTAAAAGTCTTCGTAAGCTCATTTTAAGTGCAGTATAAGATCCCATCATGTAAGTGCCATCCTTTAACTATTGTCATTGATTTTTATTTAATTGTTACCCAGTTTGATTTTTGTTTTGTAAACATTGCTCATTTTGTACACAAATATTAGCATTTCTGGTTATTTCTTAGGATACTCCCCTAGAAGTAGAATTAATGAACCAAAAGGGACTACATTTTTTGAAAGTTTTTGAAATGTTCAAATTTTCCCTGCAAAAAAAGTCTGAAATTCATTTTTCTCATTTCAATATACCCGTATAATATTCTGTATCACAACTTGACATATTTTCTTGCTTATTGGTACATAAAATAAAGGTACATATTATAGCAATGCTGAGAGTTGATCACACTTCCACAGGAAAGTTGCCTTCATTTGTCACTCATTCACCTTCTCTCCCCCCACCCCGATTACCTTTACCTTCCACTCAATAGAACTTTACAATTGCTAAATTCCACTCATGTCCATTTCCATTGCCGTGGTGAAATCAGCTGGGCCACTTTTGTTTTCCCTTACAATCTACATAAAGCCTGGCTCAGAACTTGCCAGAAGTCTCTCTGACTCCATGTACACTGCTTCTTATTTTGAAAAATGTTTATTATCTTTTCCAAATTTCCTGTCCCCAAATATAGCTACCCTGGTGTCTAGATTGTTCTTGTCCTACTACCAGAGGCAAGAGTGGATTCTTCTCTAGTAAATGACGGGGGGCGGGGAGAATGTTTGGAGGGGAGGGTTTTTAAACACGCTCACTCTCCATCAGGGCCCAGCCCTGGGGTTTAAGGTTGCACATTCTGCTATTTCTGTGACCCCGATACCTGCTCTAAGGGAACAGTGGGCTGAAGAAGGGGATGGCCCTCCCCTCAACTCTGGGTATACAAACAGTCATTTGCACCTGCAAACAAGTAGCTGTATGTTCACACCGAGTCAACAATGTGCAGGTGTGAGGGGCTGTTTGCTCAGGCCAGGGAGCTGAGCACACACTGGTCACAAGAGAGGCTATTTTTATACCTGGGTCACACTGAGAACTCTCCAGCAAGGTCACCTGCCTGCACGGCCACACATGAAAAGGAGACTCCAGCGTACAGCTTGCTTCCCCAAGCCTGGGGGAGGTGCGGAGCGAGCAACAGCCTGCACGGCACCCTCAACACCGTCGCGGCCACCTCCACCTTCACTCCGAGGCGGCCGTGTACCGCTCTTGTCCAGGCTGGTTAGCCCTGCTCCCTCAGTCTGGGACTTCTCTGAGGGAAACGGAAAAGCCAGGAGAGTTCGCAAAAGGACCTTAGACCAAGGAGTAGCCTTTACAACGTCATCATTTTGTTGGGTGTTTTCAATAAACACTAGATGGCACCAGAGCCTCAAAACTGAGCCAAGACATTGTGTCCTGATATAAAATCAGGCTTGGGAAGGGAGGACCTTTTTAGATCATCTCAACAGTTCCAACCTAGGGCAACCCTCTTATTCTATTTTTTTATTATGAAAAATTTAAACACATTCAACAGTGGGCAGAATATATAAATGAACTCTTATTTAATCGTCATTCAGCTTCCAACAATTTGTGCCCGCTCCTGTCTCATATACCTCCACCCACTTGCCCATTCTATACAACTGAGAAAACCCCACACGTTCTATCATTTCATTCACAAATATTTCCGTATGTAGTTCTCACAGGTGAAGATCATCATCTTCTTCTAAAGATAAGCAATCTGGCTTCTTTCCTATGTTCCGGTTTATCTAAAGAAGGTTCCAGAGACAAAAATCTCATAATCCATTTCTCTTCTTTCCTCTTCACACTTACTGTTTTATATGTGGGGAAGGAATCTCACTGAAGGAGCCACCCTAGCAATCGAACCCTAGGTTTCTCTGCTGGTTGCTGGCCTTATGCTGCTCTGAGAAGCCAACACCAAGGTTTGCCTTAGAAACTCCTTCACGCTTGCCTCACAGAATGGGTTACACAGTCAACCAAGTATTTTACCAGCCAGGGAAAAGCATTGGAGGTCAGCAAATATGTATTTGTCACCAACAAATATTTACTGTGCATCTGCTATTTAAGCACTCTGACAGATGTCACAGGAGTTAAGAGGGAAGGCTTACTCTCAGAATGCTTAATGACCTGCTTGGGCAAATTGAGCCAGAATATGAACAAAGAATAACAGTGTTATTCGACTCATCCTCAGAACATACCTTAACCAAGTCTGGGATTTGGGGGGCAGGAACTTCTTATTTGGGTAGAAAGTGCAGAAGTCCTACTCAGATTGAAAGGTCAGGTGTCACAACAGCAGCCAAATGAAATTAACTGAATTGGGAGGTCAAGGCCATGCTCCCTAAGGGTGCCCCATTACACATACCATGTCTTCCCCACAACCCCCTACACCTTCAAATCTGTACAAGTTTCCATATTTCCTACCAGAAAATTGCCATCCAACCTACTCAGTAACTTTAAATGGTTATTATAAAGATGATGTAACAATAGAGGGAAATGCTTACCCAACAGGTTAAATTAAAAATGCAGCACATGAAATGCCATGTAAGCAACTTTTGTTAGCTAGTTAGGTTGTATGGACTTTTATATATATATATTTTAAAAAACATATCTTTATTGATTTCAGAGAGATAGACACATCAATGATGAGAGAGTCATTGATCAAGCCCACAACCAGAGCATGTGCCCTGACCGGGAATCAAACCCCTATTTCCTGGATCCTAGGTCGACGCTCAACCTCTGAGCCACGCCCAGCTGGGCATGGACTTTTCTTTTTTTTAAAAATTCTGTAATTTCATAATTGTTTATTTTAAAAATCTGATAAAAAAAATAAAAATGAAACAAAAAAATTTTGATCAGATCACCTCAAGCAAATTCCAGTCCACTATGTAGGAAGGGACTATTTTATTCTCTTACATTTGACACATATTTCCCCTCTTTTGGACTGAAGAAAGGAGAGAAAGAAGTTCAAACTCTGCTGCTTAGTACCCAATCTGGGGAAAATGGGAGGTGTCAGGCTGTGAGCCCCAAACCAGCACTAAGGTCTGGAGATGTGTACGTTGGTAACAACCACCTCTTATTCCTTCATTAGGAATGCATAGGGTGGAACTTCCTGAGGGCAGTAGGCAGCAGCCTGAAGCCCATTTCTAAACCCGATTTCTAAGGCAGAAGAGCACAGCTATGGCCTTGATTTACGAAAGCCCTGCCCATCTGGTGCTGGGCACCATGGGAATTGGCCTAGCCACTTAGAAGGCAGTGGGAAGCCAGCTCTAGGAAGTGGGTCAGCATCACCCACGTCCAGAGGAAAGACTTGTAATAATAGTTGTGAAGTACTTTGCAAATAAGAGGAAAAACTCAAAACAATGGCTGTAAAGTGCTTTGCAAACACCAAATGAGATAACAATGATGGATTATTGTTCGGGTTGGAGGGATTGGGAGGGAGTAGGGAAGACCAGGGACTAACTTTGGTGTGCTGGGTTATGGGAGGAGGGACTAGACAAAGGAGCTAGGAGATCTGGGGGTCTGACCTTTTCTCAAACCACTGGGCCATGCTCAGAATTATAAGTATCTATCGCTCTCAGACTTGGGCTAAATTCGAGACTGCAAGCAGGGGATGAACTGGCAGCAAGGTTGACAATGTATATGGGAGAGGTCTCACAGCTGCTGCTCATGGGAAATATTAATGATTAGCAACCAAAAGCACAAAATGAATTGAGACCTTACCCCAAGAGTGGGGCTCTAACTCCTCACTTCCATCTATGCCCCACTAGAACAAATTTTCTTTTCTCAAAGAGGGAAACAAACTCAGCCTGACTTCTTAGGCCTCCAATTTAGAATGGGTCTTCCAGGGAATTAAGGCAGATGACTCCCACCCAAGTGCCTGAAAGAAAAATGTGGGCCTGCAGGTTGAAGGATCCCACCCCTGACTTCCTCACAGAGGACTGACGCAATCAAGGCAAGGACTTCGACCTCTCCCCTGACCTGCTCCATCCATCTTGGGGAACCACCCACAGGCAGGGGTAAGCTAGTGAGGGCTGGGAGAAGGAAAGGCCAAGAAGGGAGAGAACTCAGAGGCCAGGGTCATGGTTGGCAACACCCACTGGGCGCTGCCCAAAGGCTGGATTTGTCTCCTGACTACTGGCTGAGACACTGCCGTGAGTGCCAGCCCGCTGGGTCAGTGCCTCAGAGCCTGGGTCTGCTCTGCTGCAGAGGCACCCCTCAAGCCTCTCCTCATTTGAGGGGCTTCCTCTTGCTAGGAAAAACTGGAGCCCATAGTGGAGTGGCACCTCCTCTCCTTCACCTTCAGATGCTGAGGGTATCTGGTCTTAGGCCATCTACTGTTTCGGGGAG